GATAAACCAGCCGATGCTTTCCGAGCACCGAAAGGTTATCCATCTGGTCGACAACGCGCCATCACATCGACCCGACGATGAGTCCCTTTTGAATAATGTAAAGGTAAAAATGCTACCGAAGAATACACCTGCAGCCCCAGGACGCTGGCATCATTGCCTAGTTCAGGGCTAGAGTGAAACAGCTCCAAGTGCAGAGCGCCTGCAACAGGTTGATTCTGTGATAACTGGTGGACAAGATGGTCTCTACGAGGTACGTTGGTGGAGGCAATGTCTTGGGCAAAGGAGGCCTGGCGGTTGGTGACACAAGCGACAGTTGTTAACTGCTGGAATCGGACAAGCATTTTTGACACTGAACTGTCGACATTAGAGAGATTTCGGGACACCTCCGTGCATTTGCCATGAATTATCCTCCCAAATTTAACACAATCTACGGGACCTGTCAAAATTTTTCGTGGCTGGCCATGAAGTTGGTGGTTTTTACGGATTGGAATTTGACTCAAGTTTCGACGGAGAACAAGAAGACCAGAAGCATGGACCTCACCCAAGACGCCTTAGAGAAGAAGTGGTGGACAGAGGAAGACGACGTTCTACTCCTAACACAAGTCAACAACGAGAGGCCCTTCCTGAGACGAAAAGATGCCATGAAAGCATGGCAAGCTCTTGCCGCAAACCTCTTGACCATACCCGACTTCTCAAGACGCACCCTGGACGGAAAGAAGGCACAAAACCGCTTTCTGCTGCTAATGCGCCAGCACGCTAAACGAAATAAGGTGGCTCTGCTCCAATCAGGTGTGGTAGAGATCGAGACCGACAAGACAAAACTGCTGGATGACTTGACGCCGCTGTACAACGACTCTGTGGCTAGTAAAAAGCCCTCTGCATCTGCTGAGACTGAAAACCGCGTGCGCAACATCCAAACTATCCGAGAATCCGCAATGATGCGTGGGAACAATCACAAAACACGGATTCTGAGAGCTGTGACTTGCCCAATGAGAAACCTCAATCAGGTAAACGAAAATACCTGGCCGAAATGCAAGAGATGGAGATAGCTCTCGAGCGTGAGAAGATGGCATTTGAGCGAATGAAATGGGAGCGAGAGTTACAAGAACGTGAGAAAGATTGATTAGAACGTCAACTAGAACGTGAGGCTCGAACAAGAGAACATGAGGCAATGATGCGCATCATTAGCCAAGTTATTACTAAGAAATAAGTGTGTGCTAATACATTCTTTCGCAAGGTATTCGTGCTGTGTTGGTGGATCTAGATTGAAGTACGCACTTGTTTGATTCCCGCGATAATAGCACGTGTGGCAATTGGTTAACAACATTGCAATTTGTATTGCCTTGCCAACATTTTGGAGCATAACTTTTTGCTGCATCTTGAATGTTGTTGAGGCCCACAGAGTCTTCAACAGCCCAAAATTCCACTCGACACACTGCCGGACTTTGCTCATAGCGGAGTTGAATGACTTCATTTGTCTCGATACCGCACTTCCTTTGTAGCCACGACATATCCAAGGGAGAATGCCATAAGCGGGATCGCCATGCATCAGAAAGTTGTCAAACAACTCTTTATGCGAGTCGAGATAGGCCATAAGTCCACTCTCCTTCAGAATTGTAGTGTCGTGGCGGGAACCTTCTATAGGGCCCCAGAAGTGGATACAGAGTCCATCAGGGGCAGCGACAGCTTGATAAAGAAGACAATGCCGTCGTTTATGGCCACTGTAAATCAGACGCTGCAAGTCACCATGCTGAACACCACTAGCAATAACTTGGCGGCTCTTTTTTGGTGCGATGCGGCAGGTTTCAAACTGGTGCCATCAATAACCCAAAAATGTTCGCCATACAGTCCGACTTCAGGTAAACAGCAGTGGCATAGTCTTCCAAACGGTCTTGCACAATTTGCAAGCAAAAGTAGATAAGCTCTTGCCACTTGTGAAACAAGAACTCTATCATGTGGTTGAATATACGACAGAGTGATTCGCGAGACCGTCCAAAAATGTCCATCATATCTTGGTATCGCTGAGGATAGGACAAACGGTAGAGCACAATACACAAAGCTTCTTCTCCAGGACAGACGTCTTCATCAAAAGTTTGTACTTCATTTGGAATACGGAGCAGCTGACGCAAGAGGCGAATGCCATCGACGTCAAAGCGGAATTTTAAGGTGCTGTCAGCATCTTGGAAGTTAGAGAGGGAGAAAGGCTGTTTGGGCACTAAAGGACGCTCAATCAGACAGACAAGAGCGCGAAGCAGTCGCATTCGCTGCTTGAAATCTGCCCGACGACGTCGGCGGACGATTGACACCACCTCCTCGGCGCTAGCCATTTGTTGTTAAGACAACGGATAAGGCACACCTTTATCCGGATATGGATGAAGCATGGCGTTGACTCCGAAATTCCCGAAATTCCAGTTTGCTCAATCCGCGTACTATCCGTATATGAGAAATTTGAGGCACGGGGAATGCACGGACCAATCCCGAAATCTCCCTATTTAGCGACCATGTAGCGGCCATCCAGTTGTAACAACTTGTACCTGTTTAATTTTGTGTCCTTTTAAAGTTATTACTCAGCCACCGTTTAAAAGTCGGGTGGAAATCAGTACTACCATTTTCGCACACTCACTGGAGCATCCGGCACTCAATGGCACGGTACTCGGCGTGCAAGACACTCCTGTCGCATGCACATGCCTACGACGAGGTAGCGATGTCACTTCCAAGTGGTTGTAAAGGAGGGTGAGCATGGCATTCTTCATGGATCATTCTATGTCGTGTGAATGCCGAGAATGTCAACGTAGTTCCAAAGTGATTTCCTTCATGTAACAGGTTATCCATTTCAAAGGGTATATGGACAGATATGTTGTGTTTGGATGTAATCCATTGAAAATCGTTTGTAGTAGTATATTCATTTAAACAGTGTGACGTCCAAATAGCAACAACAACTACAGTACATGGCATGCACGTCGATTCGTTGTGTCCAAGTGCCGGCAACCTTTTGGATGCTGCTTTTCACGCGATGGGGAGCCAAGCAGATGTCGATGAAGCCATGGAGTCGCCCAGGACTTTCGAATTCGACTGCGGCGATACGATACACGACATTGTTCTTTTGTCATGTTTTCACGTGCATTCGGTAAACTCCATGCTATTTCACCCTGGCGGCGAGCCACACGTGCCCGTCAGCCTTCACGTTTGTCATCCCGCCGGAACGTGGAACACGAGTTCAAGGAGGATGAGTTGCGACGCAAGATGGGCTTGGCAACCTGTCTGCCTCTGATGAATACTACAGTGATCCCCCGACGTTTGCACACAGGTATAAATCTATACCTTCCAAAATGTAATATCTATACTCCATAAAATTATATGATGCGCGTTGATGAGTTTGAATTTCAAAGTTGCCCGTCAAACTTCCAAACGTGGGATCAAAACACTTCACTGTCAATGCACACATTCAAAATGCAAGGGGCAGGCAAACGCTTAACGTTGCAACAAAAAGGCATGATTCGGGACCACTACAAGAAGGTCAAACCACGAACCATCGCAATCCTTTCTGCGTGGGTCGAGGAGCGGTTTGGCTTCGCACCGCACCGCACCACCCTTCAGCGCATGGTGAACGACGAACGAAGCAACGAGTTCATCGCCGAGACCACGCTTACGACCCGGTACAACATGCAGCTACCAAAGTTGCCTGAACTGGAGACAGAACTGTACAATTGGATTATCATGGCCAACGCTAAGCACTGCAGCGTCACTGGAAGCATCATTCTGCGGAAGGCAGAAAACCTCGCTAAGACCATGGGCTTCGAAAACGCCGCTCGCTTTTCCAACGGATGGCTGCATCGGTTCCAGAAGCGGTTCGGATTGCGCATGTTTCGACTGCACGGCGAAGCCGCGTCAACAAACACAAAGGACGTCGAAGATGGCCGCCAATCTCTTGCTGCCCACACGTCCTTGTACGACTTCGATAGCATCTACAACATGGATGAGACCGGGGTATTTTACAACTGCCAACCAAGCACAACAATCTCCAAGTCTACAAGAAATGGTCACAAAAAGGACAAAAGCCGTATCTCTGTGGTACTCACGACAAACGCCGACGGCAGCCACAAACTTCCGCTGACCTTCATCGGCAAGGCCAAGCGTCCACGCTGCTTTGGCAGCCTCAACCAAAACGCCATGGCTTTGCTGTATCGAAGCAACAGGAAGGCTTGGATGACTATTGCACTCTTCGCCGAATGGATTCAGGGCCTGAATGACAACATGCGGAGCAACGGCAAGTCCATCCTACTCATTTTGGACAACGCTTCGTCACACAAATGTGTCGATGTCGATCTTACCAATGTCCGTGTCCTCATGCTGCCTCCCAACACGACAGCGTGGCTTCAGCCGATGGACGCTGGCATCATCGCCGGTTTCAAACGCTACTACAAGAGGCGTCAGATTGACAATGTTATCGACAAGTTGGAGAGCCAAACCATCCATGACGGGCCACTGAAGAAGAACTTGTACGGCGTCGACGTGCTGACGGCCATGGAGTGGCTGAAGGAGTCCTGGGACGAAGTTTCACCGACGAAAATTTGCAACTGTTGGAAGCACACAGGCATCGTACCTCGCCAGACCCTTGCTAGTCAATTGAGCGCGCTCCGCCTCGCCCCAGTGACTTCCATTCGGGAAATTTTGAGTTGATTGAATGGTCTTGACACGCTAGAAAACCCTGCGTAAATCTATAATTGTATGGCAGCAATACCTTTTGATATTTTATTCATTCCACAGTGTGCAAACGTCGGGGGATCACTGTAGTACGCAAACGTACCAGCTCACGAGAGTACTTGATTCCTGACGTGCATGCAGGCCGCGACAGACCAAATCCAGTCCTTTATCGCAACTCCTGTACAACTCACTGTGGTTTTGGTACAGTTGACTGCGGTAGCCAACATCATGTGGCTGATTACAACTCAGAATCTACGTATCGTGGAATGCATCAGGGTGGAGAGATGGATTCACCTGCGCGTGCTTCCTTTGTACTGTAGCAATGGATATTGCCATGACGTCTGCGTGATTCGGCAACATAACGAGCATCCATCCATCCTCTCCGAGCAAAGACGAGCTGGGAGCAATTTGTTTTTCCATGCACACGAGGTGTTTCCAGCACCGCTGAACCCCCAAATCAGAACTGCGGGAATAAAACACACGCCTGCCCAGTCCCGTCGCAACGTTTCAAAGGCTGGAAGCAACTCCAACCAACAATCCAATCCATGCGCGAATACTAGCTGGCTAGCGCAAAGCCACTCCTAAGCGAAACTTAGCTACCATCGAATCCTGGCGCGAAGGCTAGCTTGGTGCGCATATACTAGCTAGCTAGCGCCGTAGCGTCGGCTAACAAAGCCACTCCATGGTGTCACATGATCCAACCGCGTCGAGAGCTTCTCCTACCAGCTCGCACGTTCAACGAGTGGGCGAAAACGACTACGACTACTGCGCAGTACCCAGTGCAGGGTGGATCGCCTGTACACGCATCTGAGAACGAGGTAAGCTGCTCGCCCGCGTTCGACAATTACAAATGCCCCGCGCAGCAGCAGCCAAACACCCAAACGCTCCCTAGCCACTGCACAATTCACCATGAAGCTGTCGCTCCTTAGTGCCATCGCTGCGTTTGCGTGCACGGTTGCCGCAAATCCAACCAACCGGACCATCACGGGCATCGACGGCCGCGCCCGCACGTTCGAAGAAGTCGCGCTCATTCAAGACGACGCCGACACGAACCGCAAGTGCCACCAACAAAACGGCAACTACATTGGGTCGCTCAAAGCGGGACAGTATGCGGCGAGCGCGTTCCACAAGTGTTTTCGCACGTTGGCGCAAATCTACGAGTTCACCGACGCCGTGGCGGCGCAAAATCCGTCGCTGGTGACGAAATTCGCCGTCTCGAAATCGTTCAAGGGAAAGACGATCTACGGCTACAAGTTGTCCAAGGGCAACAAGCAGTCGTTGTACTTTCAAGCCCAGCAACACGCCCGCGAATGGATCGCAGGGTCGTCGATCGTGTATTCATTCGCGTCCATCCTCGACGACATTGCCAACAACCGCCCGACCGCCGCGGACTCGTACAACTTGTACTTTGTCCCGATCGTCAACATCGACGGGTACGACATGACGTGGACCGGCAATCGGTACCAGCGGAAAAGCGCCAACGAAGTCGACTTGAACCGGAACTGGCCGACGCCCAACCCGAATCCGTACCCGCCCCCCAAGCATGACGAGACGTATCCGGGTCCGAATCCTTTTAGCGAGCCCGAGACGGCTGGCATCAACTCGTGGCTTCAAACCAAGCGCAGCGAAATCGCCGGGTACATCGATATCCACGCGTATGCTGGGTTGATTTTGTACGCATTCGGCGACACGTCGCAACCGATTGGGGGCGGCTACAATGCCAAGTTCCAAACGCTCGGTCGCGGCATGCAAAACGTGATGGGCGCGTATTCGCAACAGCCCGCGTACCAGCTGTATCTGGCCTACGGCGTGTTTCCGGACTACGCGTTCCGCGAGTTTAAAAAGCCGGCCGTCACGATTGAGATTGTCGGGTACGACTTTGTCGCGCCGGCGTCGACGATTCCCACGCGCGGGCTCGAGATTTACAAAGGCATCAACCAATTTGCCAAGGAAGTGACCGTGTTCAACGGCAACTCGCCCATCACGCCGACCCCCAAGCCGACCGTGCGCACGACGACTCGCATGCCGACCACCACCAAACCCAAAACGACGACTCGCCGCCCCCGCGCCGTCGACGATGCCGTGGCGGACGACGACGTGCCATTCCTTGTCGGAGATGCTGCATCGTCGGATGCCGGCGATAGCATTGTTGGGTAGCGTACTCGTGGATGTTTTGTTTTTGTTGAAGCGAACTTGTGGGTGTTTGTTGTTGGAGCGCATCGTTTGTTGTGCGGGTTGCCAATGGCATGCACTTGCCTCGACTCGGCTGGAACTCGGGGCTGTGCTTCCTACTCCTGCAATCCAACACAAGCCCAGGCATGATGCCAGATGAAGTCGTCTGTGAGGTGCGATCACGTCACCGACGAGAGGTGGAGCCGTGAGCAATCCATTGCACCGCAAATGGCCCCAGCATGTATAACAAAATCTACCCGTGGAACGATGCGACACGTACCATTGCGTTGAACACATCATCCGTCGTTGCGCTCGACGCAAGACGTGGGATGCAAGCTGGTATGCGGCGTCTACCCCCTGGCACTGGTGTGGGCACAATGGTACGCAGCCCCATGGAGGACACGTTGTCGGGAATTTCCCGTACAGAAACTCACGGGTGAAATCGTCGGTAGTGACTTAGTCGCCCTTGTATCTACTACTATCATGACAACGGGGCTTGAGCTCCTTTCCAGGGGGCATCCGTGCCCACAAGAGCTCATCTGTAGTTGTAACCACATCGCCTGTGGCACACACGCCCTGTTCTTCCCCCCACGCCGCCCTCTCCAGCTTTTGTACCTGGTGCTCGCGATGCTGCGCTCGGCGTTGCTCAAGTTTTGTTTTCTCAGCGATTCGACGCGCATTGGATGCATGGCGTTCAACGCTAGGCTGCCTAGGATACGTCCATCTTGACCAGAGCAGCGATGTCGTAGCTGAGCCACGGAGGAACCACTTGCGCGTCCGAGTACAGACAGTTCAGCCGTCGTCGTTCCATCGGCCCATCCAACATGCGCGCGAGTGAATCGAATTGACTTCGTCGCCGCAGCTCTACTTGATGTACGTTCCGGGAGGACAAGAAGCCGTCCGTGAGAATGCCGACAATCCATGCTCGGGGAATGGCAGTGTACAAGGGCATGACCCTGGTCAGCCTTGTGGCGACTACCTTGAACTAGGGGGAGCGTGACCAAGGCGCTGCATTCGAATCCGACGTCAACGACCGCCCCCCTCACGACAGCTGCAATAAGTGCACAGTGCGCTACTACTCTGGCCAGAGCCCTTGCACGGGGGCTTTACTGCTGGCCAACTTTTGCAAGCAGCAACGAATTTTGGTGCAAAGGCATTCGGGTCGGGCGAATGGAGCGACATCACAGAATGCCTTCCAAACAATGCTGTGGATATGGGGGAACGAGCGCATTGTAAGCGGTCGCGAGCGTTGGGCGTAGCGTGCCGAGGGAAGAATAGCGTGTTGGGCGAATGCTAGCCACTGCCTGCCGCTGCCATTTTCGTGGCTGTGGGTTGACCACCGGGCACAGGCTGTGAGTACATCCATTTCGCCAATCGTCCATTGAAAGCGACCGTTTGTTGACAGCCGTCTAGACGTCAACAATCGAATGCGCGGCCTCCGTGGGATTTGTCCCCAGGATTTACAGTTGCCATGGCTTCGTGAGGCCGACCTCCAGCAACGAGGCACCTGCGCGTTGCGGTCGTCTGTACAGGTCTATCAAAAGCGCTTGGCCGAACGAGACCCCCGAGACCAAGACGTTCGTGCCCACTGGCGCTTACTCTCGCGTCGTTGGTTTGCTGCAGTTATCTCGGAATCCAAATATACATTCACGACGTCCATGTTCAGGCAGATGTGGTCGCTGGCCGTGGATCGCTCGAGCGCGAGCATCGAGCGCGAGCTGCACTTCACGTCGGCACGACATAGTCCAGGCCGACGACAAACTCGAACGCTTGGGTGTACAAAGCCGCCGGTCGTCGAGAGCCACTTAAGTTAGGACAATCGTAGCGGTCGAAGGACCGTCGGGTTGTCTGCGGGGCGTCAGCTTTCCTTCGGCCGCTTTTTGGACCAGCATGTTGTCAAAGTCGGACGAAGTAAAGTCCATGTCGGACACAAAGTCGTGTGGGTGGGATGGCCATCCATGCGGGTCGGCGACGTAGTGGGATGAAGCAGAGCTCCTTCGCAGACCCGGATGCAGCACGTAGTCTTCCAGGTCCTTGGTCGACGACGGCCGCGGGAGCTTGGGACGATTCCCGCGCATGGCGTCACTCTGAAACGAATTGGACGACGCGTGTGGCGATTTGATTCCACCTGGAAATGCGGCAGCCGAATACGGTGGGTCGATGTGGCGCGGCGATGGCTGCATTTCCCACCATCCCACGGGTGCCCCCACTGGCACCTTTGGCGATCGTGCGTAGTGGAGGATGGTGTCGCCAGACGTGGGCATCATGGGCCGCACGGAGCCGCCAAACGGACTCAGGATTCCATTCGATCGGTACGACGCCGACCGTTCCAGGATGTGGGGCTCGCTTCCGTCGAGGAGGTGCTGCGGTTGGTGCTCCATGAGAAAATCGGTCCGATATAGGGCGCTTCGCCCCGACGACATTTGCAACGACATACGCAATTCGCGCTGACGTTTTGCCCGCCGGCGATGGACAGAGCACGAAATGACAACCACAATGACGACAACGGCGGCAATCGTGATGCCCACGATCGTTTCCACGGACCGGGTCGACGACGTACTCAATGCGGCGCTGCTGGACGACGAATCCGGGGCCACGGACGACAGCACGTCCCCGACGCACTTGACACCGCTGGTACACCCTCCGATCGGATCCATTTGGTTATGGCACACAACAACGTTCCCGACAGCGGCCACGAGGCACACAGGGCACGCAGTCGTCCCGTTGTGCCGGTGGCAGATTGTCGGCACCGACCCTGGGCCGTCCGCCTGAACGGCGCACGCAGCGGTCGCGGAGCACAGGAGAAGCGGGTCTTCGGCTGCCATTCCGCCAGCGTCACAGCGTCTATGTGCGCGCACAGTCCAGAGGCCGCCGACCGAGTGAGTTACAGTGTCGACGAACCCAGACCAGACCTCCGCGAGTTGGACTGGCCACCCACGAAATGGCGGGGCTCGGCGAGGAATTCCTTTACGTAATGTCTATCGAGACGGCCCACTTGCAGCGTCATCACGGTGCTTGCAACCCACAGCTCTGGGCGATGCCAATGTTCCTGGCGAGTCATCGGCCCCAGCAGCGCGTCCCGACCACCACGACAACATGGGTCATGTAAACAGTGCGTGGCCTTTTACGATGTGGTTCAAGGCGGCCAACGTTTCACAGTCAACAGTACAATCGTGAGGAAATCCTTCTTCGATGGTGTAGTGTCAACGCAACTTTGTCGGGGCGGCTACCATGGCTGTCCGTGGACTCGAGTGTGTACTCGGTGAGGCTAGCTGGGAAAACCGAGGTTTGGGCGGCGACTGAGCGCCGCCAGTGCCCCACACGAACGGTCCCCAGCGATGGAGAACAACATGGCGTTGGCGAGAAAAGGACCGAGCGCCATGGGACTATTTTGGACTCACATAGCAGATAGATTCGTCGTCTGGACTGCGTTTGTACTGGATCAAAATACACTTGCTCGGTGAATCCAACGTGGACCGAAGCCAAAGACCAGTCAGCTGCTCGGACGGAGGCATGTTGGACATATTTGGAGTTGCTAGATATCGTGCCGAGGACGTGTTCGCCATCCTTGATAGCGAATGACTTCGTCGGAGTACCTGGAACGAGGCCGTCCGCTCGCTCGAGGGCTCGGTGAAAATGGGGCGACCAAAGACCAGATGGACGGTGGGAACAAGGACGGTTCGCAGCAATTCCGTTGATCGAGTACAACCCATCGATGATGTGTTCATATAGTACAATGATGACCCCTACGACATCTCGGTGTTGGAGATCGGGTCAGGAGGAGATATACGTCGCAACTTGTCGAGTTTTCGAGCGAGGGGTCGCAGCTAAAGCTAGGCACAAGTAGTGAAGGTGAAGTAACCAGGGCGGAGACGAGTCTCCAACACAAACATGTCGGATTTTGTGCTCGTGATACGTTCCTTTGTCCAGACACAGCGTTTAGAAGCAACTCGGGGCTTTCAGTCCAGGTCCCCTGGAGTGACTCCTTGGCCTGGTGGTAGGGGCGGGGGCGACTTTTTGTTGAAAGAGCTTGCTACGACTGCAAATTCAACTCTGGCGAGGAATGCTCTCCACCACTCGCCACAAGACACAAGGTGGCAATGATGAAGTTCCCGTCGCCTATGCGCCCAACAAGTACACCCACAATTGAAATTTTGAATGGAAGGCAATGTCCTCGACACAGCGAAAGGGATGGGGATTGTCCAAGCCAGGCTCGTGGCCTGCAGCTGCTGTCTGGCCTGCATAAACGCATAGGCACTTGCCTAGCGACCAGGGGGCAGTCTTGACGTTATGCCAATGGAGGACGCCAGCTCCCTGACACGCAGTGATAACGAGCGACATTAGTCGATTTGCATGCTCCTTATACACAATCCGAGCTACTGAAGTGAAGCAATTGACTGTAAATGCGTCTCGACGGCACGGGACGATAATTCAATCCGACGTAGTGCACAGGTCCGCCAAACGAAAAAGCGCTCGCCCATCCTTCAAAGTAGTTTCGTAGCCAACATAATGCAAATCGACGTCCGACCTGTGGCCACCGCGTGGAAAAGCCACTCAGTTGCGGCCGTCTTCCGCCATAGTTTGTCGGTTTGCGTGTCCTGCGATGGATGTGACTGCAACCAACCTAGGTCTCCCTAGGAGAGGGAAGTATTTGCTGTGCAGGACAGTTGGGTCGCCCGATTGTTTGACCCACTGCTATCCACGGCGACTCTCTAGTACCGGTGCTCTAGCATTCCTGTTGATGACCTAGTTTAGTCAGTTGCCATGAGGCTCCAGGCCCCTCAGCTTCCTGAAGTAATACAGTCTTGGATTTGCCTTACGAGCATTTAGCCGTGAAGGGCGAACAGTTGACTGGTGGACGTCGCTTCCAAATCTTGGGCCGTTCTCGCATGAACTGTTCATGGCCGCGATGTTGAATCAGGAAACTCGACTCAGGTGAGGTTTTGACGGTTGGTCCGGGTGCGCGAAAACGTCGGTGCATTCGCTGGTGGCTTGAACACCACTGGCATCTTCCGCACGAGCCATCCCTCTTCGAAAGCATTGCTTGACGATGTGAAGACTCAGGCGAGCACCATCGAATGACGAGTGTCCATTCGAAGGCTCTTGACTCATCGTATTGAGAATGGGGCAGCTCATGTTTGGTAGAGTTTCACGACTTGGCAAATCCATCCCACGGGTGAACTTGAGTTTTGGAAAAGACTACGCTACTGACTCCGTGGCTGTGGTTTGCTGCTGTCTCTAGCAGACACGTTCTTGAGTGTTACTCTTCAACTGGACAAAGGATGCTCGGTCAACGTGGCTGCCCTTGTAGCCGATGGACGGGTCAACTCGATCTGCAGCTGTCTTGAGCATAGTACTGCGCAGTGTGCCTTCCAAACGATCCCAAGCCCCCATGCAAGAACTCCCCCCCCTTCGTGGTTAGCACAGTGTTGTTGGAAACAACACGGAAGTCACACAAGGCTTAAGCTTCCTTCAACTCTGTCGTGCATAGCAGTGGTAGGGGCCTCGGATTACTGCAACCCCAAAGGCAAACTCGTCCGACGCATGCTTCACGCATTTGGAAAGTTACCACAGACAAGGCCAGGGTGCGTAACACGGTGCCGAGTTGGCGCGCATATGTCGCGTGAGAAGACATCGTGCAAATGCCAGCAATGCGCCGTGATGACCATTCCATGCGCGCTTCATGTGCATGAATAAGACGCCGACGGAGAAGTACTCGACTGGTTGACTCGGAACGCAATGTTTACAGCTACATGTAGTCAACAACGATGTCTACATTCGACGTGTGCTAGTTGGAGTTTTCTTGGACCTCCTCGACGGCCCCGCCTTGGTCGAGGACACCGTAGCGGCGAGTCGTCGTGGGTTTTCTCGTCGTGAGCTTCTTTGTCGTGGGTTTCTTTGTCGTGGTTTTGATCTTGGTGGTTGTGGGGGCGAGCGTCGTGGGGGTGGAAGTCGGTCCATTGTTGTACGTGATGACTTCGCGGGCGAACTGGGACAGTCCCTTGTACACTTCCGTGCCGCGGGTGCGAATCGTGGACGCCGGGGCGACAAAATCCGACCCAGCAATCTCTAACGTTAACACGGGCTTCTTGTACGTGCGGTAGTGGTAGTCGTCAAAGCACCCATAGGCAGGGTACAACGTCGCGCTCGTCTCGGCCTTGTAATTTGTCCCCATCTGCTGTTGGATGTTGCGGCCCAGTAGTTGAAACTTTTCGTCTTCGCCATTTCCAATCGGCTCGTACGTGTCGCCGTACTGTCGCGGTGCGTGTCGGAGTGACGGTCTTTTACTCCTAGTCCGGGATTAGTGTCCTAATCCGGGATCGTGGATGTGTGAGTCTACTGGTACGCGAAAGCGATACCAAGTCCCATCACCTTCATGATGACGACCACACTGTTGTCACGGGCCCTCGTGGGCCCGGATCCTTGAAGATCGACGGTTATAGGGTGCAGTGGTGGTGGGGGTTGTGGCCCCTCAACCAGACGAAGATAGGCGACGATAACATTTAACTTGACTTTACATTTTGCCTGGGAATACAGACTCCTGTTTGTGTTCTCTTTCTCACGCTTGCCCACGCCACACGTACCAAGGTATTTTTCACGGAAATCCCCGTGACAGTACGGGTACAGAACGAGGCCAGCATACGAGTGGACATCGACCCAGCCGGCAATCTTGTCGTTGTTGGCTTTCAGCCACTTGCCAATGCCGATGGTCTCTGGCTCGCTAAACGCAAACGGCCCGGGGTACGTCTCGTCTGTCGGTGGAGGAGGAAATGGGTTGGTGTAAAAGCTGGGAAAGTTGCGGTTCAAATCGACTTGGTGCGCGTTCTTGCGCTGGTACCGGTTCCCGTTCCACGAGATGTCGTACCCGTCAATGTTGACGATGGGGACAAAAATCACGTCGAACAAGGTAGTGATTGTCGCTTTGCCGTTGGCAAGGTCGTCGAGCAGCGACGCGAACGTAAAGATGTTGGACGAACCGGCAATCCATTCGCGCGCATGGATCAAACTTTCGTAGTACACCGCCTGGGGCTTGGCACCGCCCGCGCTCAGCTGGTACGCATAGATCGTTTGGCCTTTGACTGTCGTCGAGATGGGGAACTTGGTGACAAAGTTGGCGTTTTGCGCCGTCAGGGTGTCGACAAACTCAAAGATCTGCGCGGTCGTGCGAAAGCAATTGAAAAACGCACTCGCCGTGTACGTGCCCGCCTGGAGCGTCGGGATGTAGTTGCCGTTGGTAGTGTGGCACTTGCGGTTCACGTCGGCGTCGTCTTGGATGGCTTGAATGGCTTCCGGGGTGCGGAAACGACCGTCGGGGCCTTTGACCAGAGGAATTTCGGCGGCTAACGTCGACGACGCAAGCAACGCAACACACGACACCAACGCGATCGACTTCATAGCAACGAACAAAGGGAAATGCTGCCACACGGCGGACTGTGGGAATGGCAGTCCAGTCCCACTGGATAATAATTCGGACAACGTTATCAGAGCCCCCAACGCAGCTGCCAATGACCTCGACAAATCCGTCCTGGCCAGAACGCAACCTGACCCAGTAGACAGTTCACCCCGAGGCGCCAAAAGCCTATTCCTCTGACATTCGCCCTCCCACCCTCCCCCACGTCAATGCAAACACTTGGATTTTTTCCAACACAACTGTCAGCTCACACATAGCGTGAAACGAGGCGCCAAAGCCTATCACTCTGACCTTCGCCCCCCCCACGTCAATGCAAACACTTGGATTGCCTCCAACACAAATGTACATAGGGTGAAACGAATGCACCACTGCTAACCTTAGCCGGCGGTACTTTACAAAATGCATGAACAAACAACAGGAACGACCTTGGCTCCACAACTGAATTATATCGTGCCTTAAACCAGCGCCACCCGATCGACCACCTTAGCGCGCCGAATGACTGGTTCATCGGCATCCAGCCCACGGCCGGCATACAGACGTAACGTGGCGAATCGTCGGCACCTTTTGCTGTCAACTTTGGCCATCGTTATCTCCTCGGCAATTTCACGTTTTGTACAGTTCATCATACTTCATAACAACAGCGCGTTCAAGGACGTTCATCGAGAATGAAGCTACAGTGAACCCCGGAAAAAGCCGACATGCTTTCATCCTGCAATGCATGGAATCGGAATAAAATCGAATTTATTAAATTAGGCGGCTTAGTTCAAGTTGATTGGCTATAATCAGGAGAATTTATGTGCACCAATCAGAAGGGTTACAAATTTAACTACACCTCAGTATGAGGGATTGACATTTGAGATTTGTGAAATTTTATGTTCTCCTGCTCAGAAACAACCCTAACCACACATGCATTCCCTATAAACCTACACCACGACAATTTCGGGTTTTGGAATTGCCTTCTTGAATGCACTCTTGACGGTTTCTGGCGAAAT